CTCTCTCTCTCTCTCTCTCTCTCTCTCTCTCTCTCTCTCTCTCTCTCTCCCTCTCTTTCTTTCTCTCTCTCTCTCTTTCCTTCTCTCTCTCTCTCTTTCCTTCTCTCCCCCTCTCTTTCTGTAAAAGCATACTTCTAAATCAGGTAGTCCGAATTCAACTTTCCTATCCACACGACCTGGTCTTAATAAAGCAGGATCTAATGTATCCGGTCTACAGAGAAACAAAGTAACACACCATTTATCATTATTCGTACCTGTTGGTGGCCATTAGTACTTTGATGTTACCCCGAGGCTCAAACCCGTCCAACTGGTTTATCAGCTCAAGCATAGTCCGCTGGACTTCATTGCTACTCCCGTCTCCATCACTGTATCTGGTCCCTTTTAAAATTAAGTACATGTAATATTATATTAAAATTAAAATTTGATACATCTACATGTGTATAATTAGAAGCTAATGTAAATACCAGACAGTCAGTAGGTCAAGCATTATAAATCACCAGACAATCTCATGTCACATCCCTCGGGTTGAGGCCACACCCACTACAACAAGCGCAAGATTAATGCAAAATTCTCATTCATTGTAACGACTTTTAAAAGTTCGTAAAAAATCCAATTTTGATCGGAATCAGTTCAAACTTTCTACACAACATAAGAACATGTATATGTATCAGGAAAAGTTATAAAGGTGGAGAATTCTCTCCTAGTCATTTTTGGCAAAATTTGGCCAAAATCCCTGTACTATAGTACAGGGACTTTGGCTCGATTTTGGAGCAACTTCAAAAATTCATAAAAAATCCAATTTTGATCGGAATCAGCTCAAACTTTCTACACAACATAAGAACATGTATATGCATCAGATATTCCAATAAAAATTCTCTCCTGGCCATTGTCAAATACTGACCATTACTGGTCATTAACCTACTATGAATAACAAAGCAACTACTCCAGAACATAGGCTGGTACTGATACTAGATACAGTGCATTAATAGGAGATAACTCCCTGGGGCTAAACATGTAGGAGAGTGATAGTAATGATAACAAGTGCTAATGGAACACATTATCAGACGAGAAAGAGTCACACACACTCACAAGTACATGTGCTCTACGTATGTACATGTGCGACGTAGCTATAGGCTATACTGACAAATACTGTAATAGAGACAGAATGATGATTACCAAACTTTGATATATAATTACAAAAACTAGCATAACTTGAAGCTATAAGCAATTACATGGACCATTACTAGTAGCTGAGTAACATAACATACATTCTATTGCTCTCTTAATGGTGGGCATTAATTAGAATAGAGGGCATTAATTAGAAGCACTGACCTCCGATGGCATCAATTTCGTCAAAGAATATGATACAGGCTTTTTTGGTACGAGCCATTTCGAATAGCTCCCTCACCATCCTGGCACCCTTTGAATAATAAAAAAGGCGGGAAAATTAAGATACGCAGACAGTGTAGTGTGTGGAATACATATTAATATTATATAAGAACAATATTTCAATAAAAAACTCATTTTTACACTAAAGTTTTGCTTCATAAAAGTAAAGCACTATATGATATCCCACGACAGGGTATTACTGTACCTCTCCAACGTATTTCTGAACTAGTTCTGACCCGATGACCCGTATGAAGCAAGCATCAGTTCTGTTAGCAACTGCACGAGCACACAGGGTCTTACCGGTACCAGGGGGACCAAATAATAGGACGCCTTTCGGCGGCTCTATACCTAATTTAACAAACTTTTCAGGCTAGAGAGAGAGAGAAAGAGAGACAAAGAAAGAGAGAGAGAGAGAGAGAAGTTCTGCACTGTACACTAGTCATTTCTTGCTAACATGGAGTAATGGTGTTTCTACAACTTCTTTAAGTTTCTCAATTTGTTCTTTACAGCGGCCAACATCGCCATAAGTGACATCAGGTTTCTCC